CCAGCTGGGCCAGAGAGGCGTCTTCTTCAAGAAGCACAGCTTCTGGGCCTGGATTCTGAATGGATTTTTCCACTCCCTCATCCTCTACATTGTCTCTCAGTTGCTCTACTACTGGGACCTTCCCATGGCAGACGGCCATGTCGCTGGCCACTGGGTCTGGGGCGAATCTCTGTACACCGCCGTGCTGGGTACCGTCCTCGGCAAAGCCGCTCTGATCACCAACATCTGGACCAAATACACTTTCATTGCCATCCCAGGCTCAATGGCGCTGTGGCTCATTTTCCTCCCGGCATATGGCTACGCCGCCCCGGCTTTGGGCTTCTCGCAAGAATACTACGGCACCATCCCTATGCTCTTCAAGTCCCCCATCTTTTACCTCATGGCCATTGTCCTGCCCTGTATATGTCTTCTACGTGATTATGCCTGGAAGTACGCTAAGCGTATGTACTACCCACAACAATACCACCACGTCCAGGAAATCCAGAAATACAACGTCCAAGACTACCGTCCACGCATGGAGCAGTTCCAAAAAGCGATCCGGAAGGTCCGCCAGGTCCAGCGCATGCGCAAGCAGCGCGGCTACGCCTTCTCGCAGGCTGACGATGGCGGCCAGATGCGTGTTCTCAATGCTTACGATACTACCCGGAGTCGTGGACGGTATGGTGAGATGGCTAGCTCTAGGCCCATGGCGTGATGATTGATTCGCTGTGGGTTGATTATGCATTGTGCATTTGCAAGTGGCGGTTTGTTGTGTTCTGGTTTTCTTCGTATGCATCCCTACTAAAGGTTAGTAGATTTGTATCTTTGTGTACCTTATGCTCTTTTCCTTTTCTCCGGGTCGTCCTTATAGGAGGCTATGACATATTACTTCTTTTTTTTTCCTGTTTGCCTGATGTGGCTGTAGCTGAGTCTTGTGAAACTTGAACATGACATGATTCAGTGACTTCCGTTTACTTCCGTTTCTTTTTCATAATCATAAATCACGTAGCACCTAGTTTGGTGGTAGTTGGGTATACAACCTCTACCCGGTTGGGTGACTTGAAGCTATATGCGTGTTTGATATATAAACAACAGTATACATCGCTAATATATGTGGGTTTTCTTTTACATTCGATGACCTTTTAGACAATCCATATATCCAGCCCTGGAGAATATACCACCTCTTTCAGCCACGACCCTGGCCAGTTTCTATCTCGAGCACCGCTCTTCTGGTGGTCTCCAACCTACCCCCAATCCCTCCATCACAAGTTTCTCCCTCTCCTCCAAGGTCTGTCCATCATCTTCCAGGTCGACCTGCCTTCCAGTGCTTCGGTCTCGCACACCACTCGAATCAAACCTCCACGCGCGTGCCTTCTTCGCATACCGCCGTAAATCTCTCTGAAAAGTCAAGTCACCAGACCATCCAAGTACCGCACAACCAACCGTTCGCCAAGGCGATATGATAATATCAACACGACGATGAATATTCGGATTCTTCCCCTTATGTCCATTATCCCCCGTAGTCGCATCGAAATGCGGATCTTGCCAGACAACCAGTGCCTTATCCAAAGTATCAAATTTCCTCGTATCATCACCATCAAAAGGCGACGTCTGCTGCTCACGCAACGAAGAAGTCAAATGCAAAGACAGCGTATGAGTGATATACCTTTCCGCCTCAAGACTCGCAACAACATCGACAACCAGATTCCGAGTCACGGAATCATCACGATGAGACAATACAACATCAACATCGCCACTGAGTTCCTTCCCACGACGATATCCGCCAACAATCACACACTCAATACCATGTCCACCTCCGTCTTCCGGCCGGACACGGCCAGCATGATCACGGATAACAGTAGCAATAACCTCGCTCTCAGAACGGGGGACGCCTTCCTGGAACTCTTCGTAGAATTTCACTCCAATCTGCTGTACCCGCGAAAGAGTATTCCATCCATGCTCGACGATATCATCGAGATCGCGCCAGCCGCGCTGGTAGAATTCGCGCGCGGTCTTCGCTCCAACGCCCCAGATCTGATAGAACGAGTTCAGAACACGGAGCATGGGATCTGTCTCTAGTGCATCAGCAGCGGCGACGTTACCGTCATCATCGGTGTGGTCGCAGTCACCGTGCTGCTGGAACTGCGCGAATAAGTCTGCGATTTTAGCGTTGCATCCTGGTAAAGCGAGGACCTCGCTCGGTCGTTGGATGGGATGTGGGTATGCTGCCAATGCTGCAATGGAGGTGCTATAAGCACGCACGCCGATCTCGTCGAGGGTAAGTTCGCGGATTTTTCTTATTTTCACGAGTTGTGAGATGAAGTCTTCGTTTGGAGGGTGTAAGGGTGCTGAGCGTAGACATGCGAATGAGATATGGTCCCGGACCCAGTCTGGTTGTGGCGGTGGGTTGGCTTCCTCTTTTTCGTGTTCGGAGGTCGTTTGGCGATATAGCGTTGGTCGGGGGCGCTGGGAAGGTCCATCGGGAGGTTCTTTTGAGCGTCGTGCGTGGATATGCTCCGGAGGGGGAGCTCGTGGTGTTGGTAAACCAGCATCTTGTTTTGCACGCTCGATGATTTGATTTGACTTTTGTTGAAGGAAGTCTTGCTTATATTCTGCCTTTGTGGCGGGAGGAGGAGAGCGGATCTTTCGCCCACGGTAGACAACGAATGGCTCTTGAGATACACATTTTCCGGATGTGATAGAGGTATCCATCCACTCGAGCTTTAGAACAGTGACTCCATTTTCAATTGCGTCTGCCTTTTTCTCTGGAATTGAGTGCTTTGAAAGGTCATGTCGATTCGTAGCTCCATCCTCGTTCTCAGACTCAGTACTAAGATCAATAATCTCAACGGGCACATCCTTGGTCCCATCGTACTGATCCGTGCGCCTGCGTTTAATAGGGGGCTCCGCGCCACCGCTAGTCAATTTAGTAGCTGAGCTGGGTACGAGCTCCTCTGTCCAGGCACCGCGGGTGCGCAGTTCCAGCGCTGCACGCTTCGCGCGCCCGACTTTCCCCAGAACGAGGCCAGCTTCGGCAATGTCGTAGGTCAATCTCCCACCATAATCTATCAGTCGGCCTTCAACCTCATCCAGTTCCTCCAGGGAGAGATGCATTGGCAAAATGAAGATGGGTGGTTGTGATGAGAATATGGAGACATGTTTTGTCTTGTCCCCCAAAGAAGAGGTGGGATCGGCAATCATGGTCGTTGATAGATCTATGATATGAAATCATCATATATGCGTGAAGGGACAAGGAGCGTGCTCATCGAGTCATTATTTTGCTGGCGTTGATGGTTTAAGACAAACATTGGTTTCAAAGCGAGCATGTGAGACAGACCACTTGAATATTCAATAGTGTACAGGCACATTCATCTCATCTCATTTTGACATTGGCTGAAGTTATGCTAGGACGTTGATTTGAGTGAGATCTCGGGAGACATCTGGGAGACATCTGGGATTGACGTCATAGATATGACACCTAAGGCACTGAACTATACCTAGTTAGGTATAAAGAGTGCGGAAGCCCCAAAGTTAAAATAATACGCATAACCTCAGTTGATATTGGACCTAAGTTAAACACCTAACCTTGGAAGGAAAAGTCCGTACTGATCAATTACTTGGAACCTAACTTGTTATCAAGATGAAATTAAACAACGGCCATGAAATTTCCTTGTTGATTTGCTTTCTATGAAGTGTCCTGTGAGAACAAAGTGCTATGGAGGTATGAGATATGGTGTGATTTGTAATCTTTTTTCCCCTTCTTTTCGTGAACACATCTCCATAAGCTTGGAAGAATGTAAAAAAAAAATCATCAAATGTAGGAAATGAAGCAGGACCCCGCGTCCAACCCTGCTGCGTAGATATATGGATCCTGGAAAGCCCAATTGTGTGTGCAACCTGCAATACCAGCTGAGCCTGTAGCAGATATGTGGAAGATTTAGCTTGTGGTTTTTGGCTGTAGATGTTGATTCTGTGGTAGGCTAAGTTGATGCCATGATGGTTGGGATTTTGGATTTTGGCTGGCGAGAATGAGCCTGTATGAGTCCAGTTACTGGGCTTTGGAACAAGTGATGAGGTTTTGGCTTGAGCTTCTGTTTATTGAAGTGGTGTTGGGTCCGATATTGATATCGATGTCTTGATTGCCATTGTCGTGAGAAGAGGAAGGAGCAGACGACACATGATGGTTGTTGGGTTGGGATATGAGGACACCCGGTAAGGAGAAGTTCAATCAAAAGGATTGATAAACACGTGTTGTTGTAGGGCTGACCGCGAAGGTTACGGATATTTGAAGTGTATCATTGACTCAGTCGACCAGTCTTGCGATTGTGGTGAAACCCGCCACGGTGAGACTGGTTGGGATTGAAGTGGATGATCGAGGTCGATTGTGGATCAAAGTGGAGGAGGTCGATAATCAAAGTGGTTGCAACTAGTCTACCGATTGTCCTGAAGCCGAAGCCCGCCACGGTCAGACTGGTTGGGATTGAACGACTTCGTCGACGAACGAGGTGGAGGATCGAAGGGGATGAATGATCGATCGAGGAAGTTGTGACCAGTCTGCCGATTGTCCTGAAGCCGAAGCCCGCCACGGTCAGACTCGTCGGGATTGAAGTGGATGGTTGAGGTAGATAGTTGAAGCGGTGGGTAGATGATCGAAGTGGTTGTCACCAGTCTGCCGATTGTCCTGAAGCCGGAGCCCGCCACGGTCAGACTGGAGGATGTTGTTGATTGAAGTCGTTGATGAAGTGGTTGACAGGGGGTTATCGAAGTGGTTGTAACCGACTGAGTCTGCCGATTGTCCTGAAGCTATGAAGCCCGCCACGGTCAGACTGGTCGGGATTGAATTGGGTGGTTGAGATTGACGGAGGCTCGAGGTTGATGGAGGGTCGAGGTAGATGTTTCAAGCGACGGATGGAGGATCGAGGGCGGATGAAGGATCGAAGTGGTTGTCACTAGTCTGCCGATTGTCCTGAAGCGAAGCCCGCCACGGTCAGACCGGTTGGAATTGAATTTGGAGGTGGAGGATGGAGGTAGGATGGAGGATCGAAGCGGTTGCAACGAGTCTGCCGATTGTCCTGAAGCCGAAGCCCGCCACGGTCAGACTGGTTGAGATTGAAGTAGATGGTCGATGTGGAGGATGGATGATCGAGGTGGGATGGAGGATCGAAGTGGTTGCAACCAGTCTGCCGATTGTCCTGAAGCCGAAGCCCGCCACAGCCAGACTGGTTGGGATTGGATTTGGAGGTGGAGGTTGACGGAGGGTGGTCGAGGTGGAGGATCGAGGAGGGATGGAGGATCGAAGTGGTTGCAACCAGTCTGCCGATTGTCCTGAAGCCGAAGCCCGCCACGATCAGACTGGACGATGTTGTTGATTGAAGTGGTTGACGGGGGGTGGTCGAGGTAGTTGCAACTAGTCTGCCGATTGCCCTGAAGCCGAAGCCCGCCACGGTCAGACTGGTTGGGATTGAATTTGGAGGTTGAATTTGATGATTGAATTGGATAGTTGATTGAAGTGGATAGTTGAGCGAGGTGGATAGTTGCTTGAAATGGATGGATGATCGAAGTGAGTGATTGATTGAAGTGGATGGTTGATTGAAGTGAGTGGTTGATTGAAGTGGATGGTTGAGCAAGGTGGATTGAAGTGGATGGATGACCGAAGTCGATTGTTGATTGAAGTAGTTGAGCGAGGTGGATAGTTGCTTGAAATGGATGGGTGGTTGAAGTAGATAGTTGTTTGAAGTGGATGGATGATCGAAGTGAGTGGTTGATTGAAGTGGATGGTTGAGCAAGGTGGATTGAAGTGGATGGATGACCGAAGTCGATTGTTGATTGAAGTAGTTGAGCGAGGTGGATAGTTGCTTGAAATGGATGGGTGGTTGAAGTAGATAGTTGTTTGAAGTGGATGGATGATCGAAGTGAGTGGTTGATTGAAGTGGATGGTTGAGCAAGGTGGATTGAAGTGGATGGATGACCGAAGTCGATTGTTGATTGAAGTAGTTGAGCGAGGTGGATAGTTGCTTGAAGTAGATGGGTGAGCGAGGTGGATGAATGATTGAAGAGGATGGTTGATTCAAATGGGTGGCTGATTGAGATAGTTGATTGAGGTGGCTAGGGTATGAACATATGAACGTTACTAGAAACTAGTCAGCAAGTTTTGTCTCCTAAGAGGAATAGTGGGACGTCACAGGAAATGTTTATAGTTCAAAGTGGTCTCGGTGGATGGCCATGATGTAAGGACATGCTGGATGACCTAGGTGGGTGTGGTCATGGTGGAAGGCCCATGGCAGAAGGCCTTGTTTGGACAAGTCAAAGTTGGAAGGTTCATGGTGATCATACTAGAAGTGCATGTCCCAAGGCATGAGAGAGATGGCAAGTCCATATTGGATGGGTCCAAGGTAGAAGGTCCATGGCAGATGGGGGTCATGATGGAAGGTCATGATGCATGACACCTTCCATGATGCATGACCAAGATGGAAGGTCCATGGTGGATAGGGTCATGGTGGAAGGTGACCATGGTGGAAGGTGCATGTCCTAAGGCATGAGAGAGATGGCAAGTCCATATTGGATGGGTCCAAGGTAGAAGGTCCATGGTAGATGGGGGTCATGATGGAAGGTCATGATGGAAGGTCATGATGTATGACCAAGATAGAAGATCCATGGTGGATGGGGTCACGGTGGAAGGTGGAAGGTGACCATGGTGGAAGGTGGAAGGTGGAAGGTGGAAGGTGCAAGGTGAGACCTTGAAAAGTGGAAGGTGGAAAACCAGAGAAAAGAAGAGATGTGAAGGAGGAAAAAAAAAGAGAAAGAAATTGGGGGGGGAGGGGGTATTTATACCTTTTCCAATGGCTTCAGGATCTTGGGGAAACTGCACGAGATTGATCCCAAAAGGGAAGGAGCCAGGGTACCTAGGTAAACCCCACAGCCTTCCAGAGTCTTCCAGAGCCTTTCGCACCTCCAGGAAACTACGTTAGGTGACGGATTGATCCCAAAAGGGAAGCGGCCAGGGTACCTAGGTAACCCCAGAGCCTTCCAGAGCCTTCCGCTTCCAAGCTTGGAAGGTTCACCTTCAGGTAGTCCAGCTTTGGAAGGTGCTTACTTGGGTGCATGCACCTGTAGAGTCTACATCACAAGGGATAGATAGATATTAAGAACACTTGCATCAAGATTATCACTAGATTATACTAGCTAGGATATAGCAACAGCTACACGATGTGGTCTTCAAGTCTCAGCTCACCGGTCTCCTTGATAACAATGCGCGACGAACCCCCCTTCCCAGCCACCCTAGTAGCTGTACCGTCGTGCTGAGTATGACCGGTCGTCTCAGTCACAATAACACTAGCATCAGGAGCCTCATCAGGAGAAACATCATCTCTGTACCTCTCCACATCATTGATGACATTCTTCCTATGTCTCTGATCCATCCACCTGCGCCATGGCTTGTAGACTACAACGCTCAGCAAACCGAATACAATAAAGCAACCACATATACCGCCGCCAATAGCATCGTAGTAGTCACCAGCGACCTGGACGCCATCCCAAAACTTGCCTTTGGCATCTGTGACATTCAGGATGAGAGTGAGCAGCTGGATCACGCCAATCACAATCGCCACGATGACGGTTAGTGTAGTCAGCACGATTGAGTAGTACAGGAATGCAACTGGGTCGCGGTGGTTGTTGTGTGATTGCGGAAGCTCATCTGGATCGGTGGCTGTTGACGAGGTGTCTGAGATGGTGCTTGTTGGCTTTTGCGGCAGGAAGTTGGCCGCTGGTTGGATGTAGAGGGAGAACATCAAGGCTCCGTCGATTGTGTCGAGGAGACACATACCGGCTGGGAGGTGTTAGAGCTGAAGGAGGGAAATTATGGGCTCGTATATGAGGACACTGACCTGTGAATAGAGCCGGGAGAATGAGAATCACCCAGAAGGATGTTCCCTTTGCTGCTTCAATAGATGAGATTCCAAGTAGAGCGATCTCGGAGGAGGTGTCGAAGCCAAGACCGAACAGAATTCCGAGGGGATACATCTTCCATGGGCTAAACAATAGAAACGTTTGTCAGACATGCAAAACATCAATAGCTTGACCAAAGAACATACCGGTCAATCAATTTGAACATTTTCTTCAAGACTGAGAAAAGGATTCCTCCACCCTCGATCTTCCACGCTTCATCTTCATGGCCCTCGGGGAGACTGAAGACCTTTTGCATCTGCTTGATGAGTTTATACAATATGTATGCATTCATAAGACCAAGCAGGATCAGGAAGGCAGCGCTGACGGAGGTACCAATGATTCCACCGACGGTGCTGAAGCTGTCAAAGCGATCAGAGACTGCTGCTGCTGTAGCTGCGACGACAATAGATGTGATAATCACGATTCTAGACAGGGTTAGATTTGATTTGATATAGAATGAGGTTACTGCACTCACGTTGAGTGACCAAGCGAGAAGAACGTGCCTACGGTGACGGGCTTTTGACCCGTTGCCAGGAGTCTTCTGGTCATTAGATCAATAGCCTACCGACAGCATTGTTAATAATTTGATCTTTTTCCAGGCTGGATTCGACATACAGAAATGTGATCTGCATCGAATGCATGTCTCAATCCAAGAGAATAGGCTAGGGCAGCTGTAGAGACCAGCGAACTGTATTTCATAGAATTTAGTATATGGCATGAATATCAAATTATAGAATATCCAACAATGAAGACTCACGGATGGTAACTCTATAGAAGTATTAGCGAATCAATCCAATGGCAACCTATATCGAAACATACCAGCACAATAGCCGCCGCCACCCAAACTATAATATTCAACAAGGCAATAAATGCAATAATTCCAATGGCGCGAAGAGGGATCTTCCTAATACCGGGCATCTTGCTATGCGAGCGCTCCGCACTGCGAAGAAGAGGCTGCAGACTCCATTTGCGGTCGTTGTCTAGACTGCGCGAGTCTATATCTGCGGGCAGTGTGGGCTCATTGAATGCCGACATAATGAATATCGTCAGACCAAATTTCTGTAACAATATCTAAATTTCTCTCGAATATATAAAGAGATGATCTTTAAAAGACTATAAAAAAAAAAGGAACAGAAGAGGGGTTCCTAGTTATCCGCTTGCAGCTCTTAAACTTTGAGATAACCCCGCCAAGTCCCGGTTCTGCCAAGCTATATTCAAGCCTGAGAATGTCCTTTCGGGCAACCCTTCCCTTCCCGTATGTGCACATGGAGGATTCTGCATGATTTAGCCGAATCACGGAGTGTTCGAGATGTCATGAATATCCACAGCCCATCCAAAATCCCACGATGTTGTGTGCTATGTAGAGTAGCGGCGATTTCCGATGCTGATATGCTGATAAGAAACCTCCAAGGATTATTCACAGCTTGGATTCTCGTGTGCTAATGGCTTCAATACTTTAATTTTTAAACGTTCGACACCCACTATAAATCATTTCCCGTGTCTGTGATTGGGTGCGTAGCTGTCGCCGGTCTACGGGCGATTATAGGGATCACCGTCACATAACTCTCTCATTGGTTTATATTGCCTGGCAGTAACTTAGACCCAGTTATATAGTTAGTAGTAATATTGAACCCAGACGATGCCTTATAATGCGTTAGAATAGATATATAAAGAGACATCTAGAAAGACCACTAGAAAGACCACTAGAAAGACCCTAAGAAGAATATGCAAAAAAGAAGATCTAGTAAGATATTAGTCTATGCTCGTACCATTATGAAGTATATAGGTGTAAAAGAGACCTTACTTCAAGAAGATGTGATGTGAGCCCTATAGTCGCCCGTACCGGTCGCCGAGTTTAAGCGGGGCCAAATGGCACGTTCGTTGCCGGAAGCTTCCTGAGGTATCTACTTACGCCCCTGCTAGAGGCCTTCTCTTATTTCAGCCTTCGAACCGCAATGGCTCCGTGCACGACCCGCTCACAAAGCTGAAGCACAGTCAATTTAGCTATGGGATACTCGTAACCAGCTACTGAACAACCTCGCCCTGCTCCATTCGAATTCTTCTCCACGATTAAGCGGCCGTTCACACCTGTCTCCACGAAATAACACTAATAATGCTAGAAACTCCGTTCTAATCCGCGTGGGGGACGTTCTCCGATACGGAGAATGGCGTGATTGGGATCTTAACAATTCTGGACTTGCGAGGTACGGCCGATGATGATCGTGGGAGATGGAGAATTTTCGACAGGACGGGCCGTATCTTCGGGTTCGCAGTTGTAGTAGCGTATGAAGAGGTCAAATCCCTCTTGGTTCTTCTTCTTGAAATCAAAGATATCTGACGCTCGTACAATCAAAGTACCGTTAATGTTGAATCGGGCATAAAGCATACGCCCCTGCTACATAGTTAATTCATCATCTCTACTCATCACATCAATCTGTACCAAGTTTGGTAGCATGTCCTGAGATCACCTCAGAGGGTTCCCTGAACAAAACTTTTTCCAACTCAAAACTCAACTGGGACACCCCTCGGGGCCAGTCCTCCGAGAGGCCGGGTTCCAAAAGCCACTCATCCATCTTAAACGGATAGACCGAAAACTCCAAAGTGCAGTACGCTTGGCAAATCAGTTGAATAGCTACATTCACTTTGCCGAGCCGTGGGCCGACGAATTTGACTCCGACACCAAGTCGAGGATCGATTTCCTGACCACCGAGCATAATTGCCCAACACTACTGAAGTCAGAAGACCCTTATCCAAGTGATTGGCCCATAGATAGGTCGGCACTACATAAGGCCACAATCGACTTCTTAAATTCTTCCTCCTTCATCCCCCGCCACTCCGCCCAAATGATTCCGAGCCTTCAAAACCACTCGGTAGAAAGGCTCCACGCGAGCGGAGGGTACGCACAACCGTTCCTAGTGTCCCTCCACAGGAGACCACCCAGGTTGTGACCACTATGGTCCAGCCCACTGCTCTAAGTGTCCCTCCACAGGAGACCACCCACGACACCACCCAGGTTGTGACTACGGTAGTCTAGCCCACTGCTCCAACAATCCCTCCAGGGGAAACCACCCAGGAAACGAACCAAGTTCAGGAAACGACCCAAGTTGTTACCACTGTGGTACAGGCCAATCCTGTTCCCGTCCCACAGACCTCCACTGACTTGGTAACCATTCAACCCATTGCTCCTAGTGTTCCCCCACGGGAGAGCACCCACGTCGAGATCACTCGACACCCTCCAAGTTCACCGGTCAGTGATCCGCCAGGCACTGAGCTTGAACCGCCTTCCGAACGGGCAACAACGCGGAGACAAACATCACGAAGTCACATAGGACAGGGACAAAGTCGAAAGCAGTTTCAACCCTTGCTTCAAAGACATCTCGCAAGAAGAAGAGCAGAGTCCCAGTCCCAAGCCATCCCAGACACAGCAAGCATGGCTGACAATAATCAAAACTCCGCGGGTTTCTCCCCCAACAGTGTGATTACTTAGCAGCCATGATCGAGCAGGCCGTAGCGGGAGCTATAGCAAGGGAACGATCTACAGGTCCCACAGGACCCCTAGGGCCACCCGGACCCCCGGGACCAGCAGGGCCCAGTAGAGCAATGGCAACTCCCGATACGTCATGGAAGGTCGCCGAAATAGGCTGTTTTGACCTAGATAATAGGGCAGCAACTGTGACGGTGGGTTCGTAAAGAACGCCCCTAGGCGCCAGAGCCTCTGGATCGTCTCACCTCTCTCCTTTATACTTCGTCTATCTTTTAAGAAGAAGAGAAAGAATATTTCGGTATAGCTTCGTAATTCCAAACAGGAAAAAGTGAATGAATTATATAGCTACGATAAATTGGCATATTTATATTGTTTGGTTCATAATGGGGGCCCATGGCCCGGGCCGAAGCGTGGGGTGGGCCCCAGACCCAGTCCATTTGGTGAGTTGGGTTGGCTTTGTGGGCGGTCTACAATGTTGTAGTCAGTAACTATAGCCGGAGGGGGAGGGTTACTGTAGTCCTCCCCTTGTGATATTTTTTGATAGGATCATTAAAATTTTGTATGAATGTCTTCAAAGAAGTGAACTATATACACCTTGGATTGAATCTCACAAATTTTGAAATTTCCTGCCAAGATCCATCCATGATTAGAAGCTTTTGAAATCATTATAATATCATCATTAAGGTACCAAGGGGTCCTTGGCACCAGTCCAGGGACCGGGTCCTTTCTTGCACCCGGTATGTCAAGGTCAATCTGTCCTTCACCAAAATGGCCTGTAAAGGCCCAACATTGATGGAATCAGATACGGGGAAGACATGGGGATAACCTAGCAACACGGGCTAGATGTAGTTCTCGTCTGTGTCTTCATGGTCCAGCTCAACCAAACTCCAACAAGTCTAGGGGATGGTATGTGAGCCGTGAGCGAGATCCAGTCCTTCCGACAAGGTCTGGCGGTTTGTTATAGACATAACAGTGAATTGTTTTGTGTATCAACCGATCCCAAAAAGCAAGTTCAAGCTGCGGCCAACACAGTCGGTGACGGAACCCACTTGGTAACCTTAGGCTGCACACGAATATCCTGGCTGACAAGAATATTCCACTCATTCCGCGTGATTGGAGTAACATCCGACGCCGAAAGAGGCGTCTTAGGCCCACGCTTATTGTGGCCTCGCATCTTCGACGGTGGAGGCTGTCTCCGACCGCGCACAGTCTGGATGGGCGATCTCTTCACTTCACGAGGGCGTTCGGCTTTCACCCGGATAGGGATGGGATCGGCCTTGGGCTTCAAAATGACTCGCTCAGCAGCTTTGGGTTGGACTTTCGCTTGAACCTTTGCTTGAACTTTGGCCTGGACCTTTGCTGCAACTTTGACTGGAACAATGGGCTCGACTTTGGCCGGAACTGGTGCTGGCGCTGGAACTGGAACTGGAACTGGAGCTTGAGCTTTTACCTGGACAGGAAGAATGATAGCGTCCTCGTTGTGGAAATTCTTGTACGCAACAGCGACGGCAGTGAGCTGCTCATCCGGGACATCGAGCTGTTCATATACGCGGTGGAAGAAAGCTTTGCTGAAGGGGCGACCGGAGAAATCCTTCACGATGCGGTGGAGTAGGCGGATGCAGGATGACATTGACTGTTCGTCGTCGCGGGAGAAGGGGCGGGTAGAAAGGATACACATGCGACGCTTGAAGATGTAGATACGGTCCATGTTCAGGAGAGTTAGACCCTCCTGACTGAAGATGACTTCGTTTTGGAGGATGGATTGCTTGACGAGGTGATCGTTTGTCTGGCGCTCATACTGGCTGCGGCTGATGGCGTCAGTCCAGCTGGAGCCGAGTGAGAATTTCCTCGAGCCTTTGAAGATGGCCCGTTCAAGTACTCGCCATGCTTGCGGCTCGATTGGGTGGATGGGGATGATCATTAGGTCGGAGGGTTGGCCGGTCGGGTAGGGCTTTCCACGGCCGATGAGGAGGGTGACGTGCATCATTCTTTGTTGGAGTTTGGTAGAGATGTATTCTAGAGCTGGGAGGAGAGATGGTGTGACGGTCTCGGAATCGAAGCTGAATTCGGGAGAGAGTGGTGGAGAGATCATTTCATTGGTGAGGGTTCTTGGTGAATTGGGGACATAGATGCCCGTTGGGCGAGGGAGACGCATAACACCCATGATGTTGATCAATTGATCTGAGATATACAAATCAGGGGAAACCCCTTTTTTTTTGGTTGAAGAGTTGGAAATTGAATGGTTCTAGGTGTTCGACTGCCACCGGACCCTGATATAGGGGACGACAGGAGAATCAACCATCAATTCCCCCGCATCTCTTCAAGTCTTAACAAGGAAAACAGTCAAATTAACTACTATTTCATATTTCTAATGATAGTAAATTTCACCTTCATTGCACGAATCACAATCCTCCGATCAGCGCGACCAAAAATATAAAAATACTTGTAACCGCTGCGGCGTTCATTGCCCAATAAACGACCTCTATTGATCGCTGCCCTAACAGACTTATGCACGCCACAGCACATTTTCAAGACATTGGATTTGTAGACCAAAATGGCCCCCACCGAAGCACCTCAATCACATTTCCACCATCCAGAGTGTTGGTAACGTTGACTTTCATTGACAGGCTGAGATTGTCTTCTAGCTGCTAGCTTCGGACGTATTTACAGGCACCTGCTTTGATAACGGTAGCTTGCACTAGCTTCGAAGTAACAGCGGATATTATGAGATGTTGACTGGCTCGTTTTCCTCAGTCACCGCATACCTACACGGTATTATGTAGCATGGACTCTACTCTGACGAGTGACAGGGGTCGCCATTGTGCACGTCTTCTCGGTGGTGTCACCTAGTTAAGTAAAATACGACCCCCCCCCAATTCGAGTCCTACATAGGCTACACCCAACCTGGGATATGCGTCGCTCCCACGAGGCTAAACACAGCGGCTGATTCTCACACGTGAGAGGCAGAACCCAGCCAAATCCTTTGTTCTCTCAAGCTAACTGCGCTAGACCTGCATATAGTGGCTACACACCCCCTCAAATATGAGTACTCATAAGGTAACATGAATTCGCCTTTCGAGAGCCACGTTGCTAGTCGTGGATCAAAGCGCTGTGGGTCGCAACCTGCATCTGTGATTCTTGATTGTGGACGAATGAATAACCTATCTAACCGGTAGATTGGATTCTTCGGGCATATTCATGAGGCTGAATTCTGCCTGATTCTCACGAGGCTCTTTCTCTCTGTCGGTGTGACCCCAACTAAAGCCCGATTGGCTTGTAGATGTGTTGTTGGTTGGGGGCTATCGTCTTCCACGTCACCTATGCATGCTCTAGATCATATCGCCATCACTTAAATTGAGCTTAATTTGCTCCATTATCCTGAATGAACCCCCAGCAAGCGCGATTTTCTGTTTATTACAATCTTCGGCATTATCTGAATACCCGAGCAGGCCCCGACTTGATCATAGTGTCACTTTCCAACATGGTATGTGATATGACTAGCTCAGTCTTTCCATCACTGAAATTCTTTTACTGCATCTCTAATATTTTTCGCTTGCTGCTTCTCTGTGTTCTAGATGTCCTCATATTCTTTCTTCAGTTAGGGTATCAATCATATCCCCGGAAGCACTACTTCCATGGCATGGCCGTCTACTTCGGATGGAGGGTCCCTGAGACCTTACACTGCTGAAGTTAGACATCTTCTTTGTGACCATTCAGCTCGATCATTGTTCCTTCGGCTGATCACCGAGCCAAAATACCAGCCATTATCCTCAGCGCCTCGTGAGCTTACTTTAAGAGAATGTCTATATGTCGCAACCGAGTCCACTTGAAGACTAGAATGTCTTATGCGTGCTTCAGGTATTCAATACCGATGACTCGCCGATTTTCCATATTATTCAAATTGTCGGTGCCAGAAAGCCCAACAAGGGGAGCTGTCCCAGGCTTTCCTGCTAACACTGCTCCAAATTCGATACCAGCCTAGGTGGTTTCTCCTTCGTCGGACCTTGTCTCAGAGTTATACCTAGATACCCATCAGAACATTCGCCGGTGCACGGGAGAGTTCAAAAACTGGCGCAACTGATTGAACATTTGCTATTTGGGCTGGGAATCTCCACTCTTTATCGACAGAGGCAGAGTCAAAGAATCGACGAAGACAAAAAGATCAACATCTTCGGCGAAATTATGGAGTATGTATTGAATATACTTTGTAGGCACGGACCACGGAGTAGA